AGTCCTTCTCATCCACTGTCTCCTCCCTCCCGCTGCAGCTCTGGTTTTCTGCCCCTTGCTGTTGCTTCTAGGGGCTCTTGTGTTTCCATTGTGCCCCAAGCCATCCGGGGTGAGCGCTCTCATTTGAGATCAGCTGATGATCATTCCATCTGCCGAGGCCCTTCACAGTAGTACCAGGAGTACTATTTGACTGAATAACTTGGGGAAGGGAATCTCAAGGGTCTGCCTTCCGAGCTCTGCCTGCCATGTTAGGTCTTTGGGAAATTGAACCCAAAGAACACAGAAAAGGGTGATTGAAACTAACTAATGCAGAAAGAGTTGTCAGCAGCAAACCTGTTGCTCCCCACCCAAAAGAGAAGCCCAGCACTGGCCACAAAAGTGGCATGAGTCTTTCCTAACGATTGGACAGCACAGAGTATTCCGCGTGGGGTGGTGATTTGGAAGTGTGGCAGGTCATGGCTGCAACCTCCAACATCACGGCCTTCACTAAAACAGGGGGAGTTCCATCTCAGCAATAATAGAAGGGAACCACACCTGACGGGCGGCCTGCTGAAGGTGGAGGGAGCAGATGAGCATCCAAAGAAAAGAGGAATGGGGAAGTCGTAGAAAATTAGAGGCAAAAAACAGATGCTCTCAGATCCAAGGTTTTTAGTCTTCACTGTATCATATTTTGAAGTCTTCATTTAAAAAGTTTTAAATTTCAGAAAATAAGTCCATCTTGGTGAACCATGTTCTGGGGAATTAGCAAAGGAAGTGGAAGTAAAAACATATTTTTATAATTGCTCATTTTTGTTTCTCGAATACAGTGGACCCCTGAACAAGGCAGAGGTTAGGGGCACTGACCCCCACGCAGTCAAAAATCCACATATAACTTTTGACTCCCCCCAGAACTTAACTACTAACAGCCTCCTGTTGACTGGAAGCCTTCCTGAGAACACACAGTCGATTAGCACATATTGTGTATGTTATACATAATATATACTGCAATATATACTTACAATAAAGTGAGAGAAAAAAGTTTTTTATAAAGATTTTATTTATTTATTTGTCAGAGAGAGAGAGCAAGCAGGGGAGGCAGCAGGCAGAGCGGGAAGCAGGCTCCTCACTGAGCAAGGAGCCTCATGCAGGACTCGATCCCAGGACCCTGGAATCATGACCTGAGCTGAAGGCATACAATCAACTGACGGAGCCACCCAGGCATCCCGAGAGAAAAGAAATGTTATGAAGAAATTCCTAAGGAAGAGAAAATACATTTACAGTGCCACACTGTAAAAAATCTGCATATAAATGGACCCACGCAGTTCAAAACCTGTGTTGCTCAAAGGTCACCTGTATAACTCAAAGAGCGTCCCCAGGACATGTTAGAGCAAACATTCTACAACTGTTACATTGGTAAGCAAGCCCAAAGTCATTGCCGACTTTTTCACCTCATGTAAGAAGTGGGATGTGTGCTGATTTGTGGGGCCTCACAGTGGCCTTCAAGCAGGGAACCTAGCCACATGGACTTCAGGGAGGCCAGAGCCTGGCTGGGAAGGGGTCCTTAGGATGAACAGAAGGAGCCAGATTCTGCCCTATGCTTGGTGGATGGGTATACAGCCTTGATTTCCCTTTAGAGTTCTTGTAGGGCCCAGCCTGTAGCTGTCATGTGGCCCTGGAACACCGACAGGTGCATACCTCACCCACTCACCCCCCTCGCCAAGCTCGTGTGTGGCCCTGGTGATGGCAAGTCATCTTCCTTTTCTGTCTCCTGGCCACATGGCTGCCCACTAGGAGCCTGGCTCTAAGAGCACCCCCCCCCCCCCCGCCACCGGCCCTGGGCCCTTCCCACTTCTGCATTAAGCACATCCTCGTTCGACACCAGAGCATCAGCTACACTGCCGTGTGCCTCTCATTTCGGTCACCTTTGCATGTTTCAGAGGCCACTAGCACAGTAGTTATGAACTTGGGCTCTTGAGTTCAACAGGCCTAGGTTCAACCCCACTCCCAAGTCTACTATTTACTCGGTAAGTGCAATTCTCTTAACCTTAGTGAGCTTGTCTCCTCACCTGTGAAATGAGGATGGCAGTACCCACTTCATAACACTTAAGTGTTTACTTACCTGCAAATATTTACCGAGCACCTTCCAGTGTTCTAGGTACGGGGGATACGGCTGGATAGCCACAGTGACTGGTCAGCCTGTCCAGGGCCCACGGGTAGCAGAGCAGGTCAGACTGTGCTCAGAATCAGAGCCAGGCTCCCAAACTCCTGATTTCTTGAAAAGCTCTTTCCTTGTAATGTCCACAATATGGCACTATCCTGGTTCTTCTCTTCTTCTTGACATCTCCAGTCCCCAGCAGGATCCATTCCCATTCTTGTTCCCAAAGGACTATGACCAATGCTCCCAAGGACACGGGCTCCTTTTTACAGACAACACTTGGGGGCGGTGCTCCCCGTTATAGCAGTTACACTTTCAGTACCTGCTGATCAAGAAAATATATAATGACAAAGGTATGAGTTCAGTAATATTTTAAGTGATTTCGTATTTTATTAACAGTGACAGCGCCTACGTACACTTGAAAAATACCATTAAAAAGAAAACCACAGGCCCAAAATGGAGTCACTTATGTTAGGCCATGTCACCAAACCAGGGCTTAAATACCTAACCTAACTGCAGTTTCAACCTCCCCGAGAAATGTAGTCTTTACTGGTCTATCAGGAATTTTCTGGTCAGCACCAATAAGGTAACCAGTCCTTTGGGCCCTCTCCATCCCCCAAAGGAAGATGAGGTAATCGAACTAAGACCCTATTTTCCCCAAAGGAAGGTGACCTCACTCAAAATAATCCTTTTTTCTGTTTATGACTTCCTTGTCCTGCCTTTAAAAACCTTTCCCTTTCTGTGGCCCTTTGGAGTTCCCGCTACTTGCTAGATGAGATGCTGCTCAATTCAGGAATCATTTCATAAAGCCAATTAAATCTTTAAAATTTACTCCGGTGAATCTGGTTGTTTAACAGTACAGTTATATATGAGTTACACATTATACGTTCTGTAGGTTTATTAATTTAATAACATATGCAATCAAATGATTGAACTATCTCCTCACAGGAGGCATATAAAATTGCTTTCTTTAATTGTTGCCTTCTATCAATTCTTGTCAAATTTCCCACATTTCCCCTTAATCATATTTTGGGCAGAATGTATAACTTTCCAATGCTTGGCAGTTATTCGAAGTCCAGCCAGTTCAATCTCAAATACAAGGTAAACCTTTGCCCACTCCCATTGCCAGCCAGACTTAGGACCTTAAGAGGAAGAGTGGGATGTGGCTACCTCTTGATTACCCAACTCCCCCCTCCACCTGCCTTAGGATCTTGCTTCTCTGATGTTGGGTCATGGAGAATGAAGTAGGGAAAAGAGTAAAGATCTCTCTACCTAAATGGCCCATTGCTTGTAGTTTCCTCTCAGACCAACACTAACTGGCTTTTTAAAAAATTCAGGTATAGGGGCGCCTGGGTGACTCAGTCGTTAAGCGTCTGCCTTTAGTTCAGGTCATGATCCCAGGGTCCTGGTATCAAACCCTGCATCAGGCTCCCTGTTCAGCAGGAAGCCTGTTTCTCCCTCTCACACACCCCTGCTTATGTTCCCTCTCTCGCTGTGTCTCTCTCTGTCAAATAAATAAACAAATAAAATCTTTAAAAATAAAAAAAATTCAGGTATACTTCGTTTACAACAAAGATCACCCATTTTAAGAGCATAATCCAATGAGTTTTGACAAATGTAGTCCTGTAAACACCACAATTATGATACAGAACATTCCCACCACCCCCAGAGTTCATCTTGTGTTCCTTTGCAGGGGATTCTCTCCCCTGATTCACAACCCCTACCTACTGATCTGCTTTCTGTCACTGTAGTTTTATCTTTAGAATTTCATTAATAATGAAAGGATGTAGCCTTTCAGTGTCTGGCTTCTTCCACCTAGCCTATCAAATTTCAGATTCATCCACATTTTTGCATGTATCGGTAGTTTGTTCCTATTTTTGCAGAAGAGTATCCCATTGTATGGAACTACCACAGTTTGTTTACCTATTCACTAATTGATAACATTTAGGTTGTTTCTAGCTTTTCACTGTTAATATTGCTTCTGTGAACAATTTAGTACAAATCTAGTGTGGATACTTTCATCTTTACTGGGTAAATGAGGAGTAGGATTTTTGCTGAGTTGAATGGTAAGTGTATGGCAACTTTATAAGAAACCACCAAAATGTTTCCAAATTGATAGCACCATTTTGCACACTTACCAACGATGTATTAGAATTCTAGTTGCTCTGCATCCTCAACACTTGATGTTGCCAGTCTTTTTAATTTTGGCCATTTGAGTGGATGTGTAGTGATTTAGTGAGTGGTGTTTCACTGTGGCTTTGTGTTTCCCTAATGATCCTTCATGTGTTTATTTGCCATCTGTACAATGTCTTTGTGGGAGTATCTGTTCTACTTGTAGTTTTATTACAGGGTTAAGTGAGTTCTTTATGTATTCTGTATAGAATCCTTTATCAGATATGTGTTTTGATTTCCTCCCAGTCTGTGGCTTGCCTTTCATTTTCTTAATGCGTCTTTTAAAAAATTCTCTTCGGGTTTATTGATGTTTAATTTGCATAAGTAACACTCACCCATTTTAGGTTTAGAGTTCTACAAAATCTACCATGACAATCAAGATACAGAATATTCCCATCACCTTCTCCAAACTCCCCTATACTTTCTTCTGGCAGGTCTGGTTCTACAGCCCTTTAATAAGTTCTGCTTATATGTCCGGTATTGTCTTTACTGTGTGGGAACTCAACACCTCTGGGTCATCTTTGTGCCCTGACTCATAAATTCTAGGGTAACAGGAAAAGGTCCATTAAACATCCTGTTACACACAGCTCTAATAAAAAACAGTAATAATAACACCCACATGCTCATATAGTGCTTGCTAGGCACCAACCTCATTCTCTTATACTAACTCATTTGATCTTCACAACAGCCTACCCTGTGAATAAGATCCCTAACCCCTTTTTCCAGCTGAAGAAATTGAGGCACTGAAGAGGTAAGGTAAACTGGCCAAGCTCTCGGGGCTAGTGAGCCACAGAGCTGCAATCAGACTCAGGGAGTCTGGCTCAAGTCCGCAATGCCAGGCGCTACCTGGCATTGCTGCCTTCCGCGTGGGAGAGACAAAGCCGAAGTTTCCGCAAGAAGGTACGAGTCTCAGCTGGTCTCTCTGCTTTGGCGGCGGCAGTGGAGAAGGAGCCCCGCGCACCCCGACCCCCAGACGCTCGGTCCACTGCTCCGCAGCCCGCTCACCTCCCGCCCTCTGCCCGGCACCCCAACCCGAGGGACGCACGCGCCCATCCTGTGGCCGGGGCTTAGGGCCCGCCGCCCAACCCCACACGGAGCCACAGCCTTCCCCTGCGGAGTAGAGGAGGCGGGCACAGCGACCGCGCTGACCTCTCCCGCCGCCTGGCACCCGGGCATTTCCCGGACCGGGGACCAGCTCCCGACGACGCGGGCTGCACAAGCCTACAGGCCGCCGCCGCAGAGCCGGGGGCTGCGCATGCGCGTGGCGTGCGTGGCGTGCGTGGCGTGCGCGGCGGCGCGAGGTGCGCGGCCAGAGGCTGGAGGCGCTACCGGCCCGGGTGTTGTTGTGCGGTGAGCTCGGCGGGGCCTTGTCGTTGCGGGCGCGGGACCGTAAACAGCGACTTCTCCCCAAGTTCTGGGAGAGACTAGTTCCAGGCAGTCAAGTGTGGGAACGAACACTGGGCTCCGCGGCAAGGGAGCCGCAAAGGGGAGGACCTGAGACCCCACGAGCGCCGGTGGCCCCCATGCAGAACAGCTGGGGCCCTCTCCCCGCCCTCCGTCGTTTAACTGTTGGTAAATAAGATTTCTAATCAGAGGGTCTAGGGCCCAGCTCTGCCCGAACACGGTGGCGTTGGGCCAGGCACGTCATATTCCTGAGCTCTTTATTCCCATTGTTAAAATGAGGAGGGTGCGCCACTCTTAAGCCTCCATCGCAAGTTATTAAATTGAAGGAAACGGGATGGCCACTTGACTGACTTATGCACGCGCTTGCGTTGATGTCAAACCCTGTGTCTGGCCTTGCTCACCTGCAGAGGATCCCGTGAGAGATGGAATAGCCCGCAATTTGTGGTGACCGAGTAATGTTAAGAGTGCAGTAGAGGACAGGGTGGAGGCCGGGTGTGAGTTACGCATGGGAGGGGGAGAGTCAGCGTAGGTTTCACCCAGGAGATGACCTCTGAGCTGAGCCTTGAAGGATGAGCGGGGTGCTCCTGGCACAGGGGATGCCTGACAGCCTGCATAGGCAGGCTATCGATGTGTCTCGAGAGTTCTGGGAATAGCAGCGAAGTAAGTGTTGGGTGTGTGGGGAGTCAGTAGGTGGGCTGGAAGGGGAGAAGTGGGGGAAAGGTGGAGGGCCTTTGAAGCCCCTGTAGGCTGGGGAGGGGGAACTACATTGGGTCTTTAGGCATGGAACTGACATCAGATGTGTGTTTCAGTAAAGTAATTCTGGCAGGAACCAGACAGGAATTGTAATTATACAAAGGGGATGTTGGAGGAAGGAAGTTAATCTCATAGACCTGGGAGTAATGAGGGCCTGAGCCTGGGAGCGCAGTGGTCATGGAGACAGAAGCAGGATATCAGGGAGATTTTGAAGATAGTAATTGACGGGCTTCAGTGGCTCCCTGTTATACCCTACTCTAGGATAACCCCAGGGTCTAGAAAACCAAGGAGGAATGAGTCATTAAGGTATCTGAGTTTCTACCAAGTGCAGACCTTTTGCCAGGCATTCAGCATCCAAGATAAAGACCTAGTCTCTGCCTTCTAGGTGTTCATAGTTGAATAGAGAAGATGGACATATAACTAGCTGATTATATCTTTATCCATGTGGTGTAGAGCATTACAGGTGTCCCTACCTGAGCCTGAGGAGGGGGTGAGGGCAGGGAGGGCTTCTTCGAGGAGGGAGGCCTGCGCTTCAGGGAAATGGGAGTTCCTAAGCAGTATGGACATCCAAGGTACAGAAGATGCATGGGTGGGAAGGCCAGGCCGTTTGTTATATGCTTAGAGCACTAGACGCAGATGCTCGAATATGAAGCTAGATAAAATAGTGGAATTAGCTGCTGGAGTGTGAGATGGGAGGTAGAGCTTGAGTTTTATTCTCTGTAGACTGGGGAGCCATCACAGGACCTCATGCTTGTTCAGATTCTCTTGGGATGGCTTGCCCTGGGTGCATTGTGGAGAACAGCTGTAAAGGGGAGAAGCTTGTGGGGTGAGGCTGTTGCAGGAAGTGCCAGTGAGTTAGAGTGGGGGCTGAAGCTGGGCATGGTGGGGCACGCAGGGAGAAGACTGGTATGGGGGCAGTGGAGTGGGAACTGGAAGTTGGGGGCGGCGCATGGGGCCCTGGGGAGGAGGACTAGAGATACCTAGTGGCAGTTTACTAGCTAAGTGGAATGGCAGTTCACTTAACCTTGGTAAGCTTGTCTTCTCATATGCCAAATGGGGATGGCAGTACCCACCTCATGATGTTGGGGTGATTCACTTGACAAATATTTACTGAGCACTTTCCAGTGTTCTAGGTACCCAGAATACAGCTGGCCTGCTGTGGTGTAAAATACACAGGAAATACATACAAATCAAGTTCAAAAGTGAGGGCACACTTAGAGGTGCAGATTTGGCTATGATCCACATTTAGCTCCCAGAAAAGAGGCAGATGAGCACTGAGTGAACAAGATTCCCCCAGTTGCAGGGCAAGATGGAGGCTGGCCCCCGGGAGAAACTGAGTGCTGGTCTATGTCTGAATGGTCTTTGCAAGACCAACTTTAAAAGGATGGTTTGGGACTGGATGATGTCTAAGCTCTTGCCTTGTGTCCTAACTTCTGGTGATCACCTGTGTGCCTCCATTTCTGTGTGTGGAGGAGCTGACTCTAAGTTTAGCTTCGTGGAACCAAGATCGTAGAGGTCTACTGGGAGGACCCTGGGCCTGTGGAGCTCTGCTAGGGGCCTGCCTTTCTCTCAGAACATACTGAGTGTTTTCCAAGGATAGTGTATTTGCTAGGTGCCTAAGAGGGGAGTATTGACTTTTATCACTGTTCTTCAGAGTAGGCTAATTGTTGTTCTGCTTTATAGTTGAGGAAATTAAGGGATAAAGAGATTAGGTACCCTGCCAGAGGCTACACAGTTATCTGAAGGACTTTTTCTTTTTTCTTGACTATCTGAGCTGTGTCCCAGAAGTATTTCAAAGCTCTGGTTGGATCAATGTAAATAACACATCAGTGTGATGTTTAAAATGAAGTAGCAATAATAATTTATCCTATGTTAATTTATAAATAAAGTTGGAGTTTTTATTCATAATTTTTAACCAAATTTAAAATCTTCAAAGGCTAATAAAATAGTGGTTAATATTTATTGAGTGCTTCATAAACAGTACAGTTGACCCTTGAACAGTGTGGGGGGTAGGGGCACCAACCCCCCCCACAGTTGAAAATTTGCGTATAACTTCAGACTCTCCCAAAACGTAACCACTGATAGCCTACTGTTGATTGGACGCCTTACTGATAACTTGAACACTTAACACATATTTTGTGTGTTATATGTATTATATACTGTATTCTTACAATAAAATAAGCTAGCGAAAAGAAAATGTTAAGAAAAGCATAAGGAAGGGGCGCCTGGGTTAAGTATCTGCCTTAAGCTCGGGTCATGATCCAAGTCTTGGGATCGAGCCCCGCATCGGGCTCCCTGCTCCACAGGGAGTCTGCTTCTCCCTCTGCCCCTCCCCCTGCTTGTGCTCTCTCTCTCTCTCTCTGTCAAATAAATAAAATCTTTAAAAAAAAAAAAGCATAAGGAAGAGAAAATACATTTATGGTACTTTCCTACATTTATCGAAAAACATCTGTGTGTAAGTGGACCTATGCAATTCGAACTTGTTCAGGGATCATATGGACATAGGTACTTCATATGTATTTTCTCATGTAATCACAACATCCTCATGAGCTGGTTGTGATCATTACCACCATTTTTACTGATAGTAGAGTTGGAGTAGAGTAAGGTTGGAGTAAGCTTACAGTAAGGTTGGAGTAAGGTGGAGTAAGGTCAGAGTAAGGTTGGAACAGGTGGAGCAAGGTTACAGTAAGGTTAGAGTGAGGTAGAGTAAGATGGAGTAAGGTTGGAGTAAGCTTCGTAAGTTTGGAGTGAAGCGGAGTAAGGTTGAAGTAAGGTGGAATAAGGTTGAATTAAGATGGAGTAAGGTTGGAGTTGAGGTGGGGGAGGGTTGGAGCAAGGTGGAGTAAAGTTGGAGTTGAGGTGGAGTAAAGTGGAATTAGGTTGGAGTGAGGTGGAGTAAGTTTGGAGTGAATTTGGAATGAGGTGGAATAAGGGTGGAGTGAGATATAGTAATGTTGGAATGAGGTAGGGTAAGGTTGGAGCGAAGTGGAGCAAGGTATACAGTAAGGTTAGAGTAAGGTGGAGTGGGCTGGAGTGAGGCAGAGTAAGGTTGAAGTAAGGTGGAGTAAGGTTGGAGTAAGGTAGAGTAAGGTGGAGCAGGGTGGAGCAAGGTTGGAGTGAAGTGGAGGAAGGTTACAGTAAGGTTGGAATGAGATAGAGTGAGGTGGAGTACAGTTGGAGTAAGTTTGGAGTAAGGTAGAATGAGGTTGGAGTGACGTGGAATAATGGAGTGAGGTAGAGTAACTGGCCCAAGGCATTTGGTCAGTGAGAGGCAGAACCAGCTATTGAACTCAGGATGTTAGGCCTAGAACCTCAGCTCTTGACTACTAGGCATATTGCTCCTGATGTGATTTGTCTTTGAGATCTTACTAGGAACAGTGGTAATTCAGTAGCCAAAATTGTTTTGTTGTTTGCAAGATTTTGTACATCTTCTTACCCTTCTTTGTTGTTCATGCTAAATAAGGGACAGCTTTTTGCCTCAACTTAATTGAAATGGGAATGTGCTGGAGGACTTGAGGCTGCGCACAAATTGTACAGCTTTGGGTTTGCCAAAACTGAGGCAGTGAGTAGCATTGGCCTCTGCCCATGGGAGGGAAGCACAGCTGAGCTGGCATCCCAAGGTGGGCCTCAGTGTGGTCGGTTCAACAAATGATGTTAGTGTGAAGACTCATAAAGATCTGGTATGTGCCTAGAAGATAACTTTCTGAAATTTCTTTTTTTTTTCTGAAAAATAAGATCCAGTGACTCGAACACCTCTGAGTTTCTTAGCTACTGGCTTAATCTGGGAAGGCTGAGGGCCACCTGCCTTCATTACCTTCACTGACCATGTGGCTGTCACTTGCCAGTGTCTGGTCTTCCAGAATTCTCAGGTGTGATGGTGGTAGAGAGGGAGCCCATTGGCAGTTGGGGTGAGGGGGTCTGGGGCAGCACTCGGAGCAGGGTGTTGAGGTAAGCTGGGGCAGGGGCTCGGGGATGGGGGACACAGGAGAAGCACAGACACTGTTAAACTGGGCTTCTTTGCGGTGTTCTGGGTAGTGTCCTGCTCGATATATCTGGTCAACAGATTTGGTGGGATGCGGCCATGTAATCTGGATTGGTAAGTGGATAAGGCATTGGTGCTAATACATCTCTGAATTTATTATTGGACTTAAAAAACACTTTCACATGCTTTTAAATATTGACTATTAAAAAATACCGGGGCGCCTGGGTGACTCAGTCGGTTAAGTGTCTGCCTTCGGCTCAGGTATGATCCCGGGGTCCTGGGATCGAGGCCTGCGTTGGGCTCCCTGCCCAGTGGGGAGTCTGCTTCTCTCTGCCCCTCTGCCCCTCTCCCCGCTCATGATCTCTCTCAAATAAATAAATAAAATCTTTTTAAAAAATCTGGTTACTTAAGCCTCTTTTTCCTTCAGACAATTACGTGCCTTTGGCATACGGGATTTTTGCCTGAGCCGATGATGATGAAGATGTGTACCATGAGCCCGTACTGCCTCCAAATTGATGGCTGCCAAAACTAACAGCTGTGAAATTATTTGTGACTGTTAAGGATAAACTTATTTGTCCCTATTCGTTATATGATCAGTAAGTGCTAGCAGTTCCTATCTGTGAAACTGTGATTTATTCTCCCCAGTGTATTTCTTAGTTTGGAAGTGGACACAGAAACCATGGCATCGTTTGTTTTCTTTGGGATCGGAGTTAGGAGTTTGGGCCCCATTATCAGGCAGGCCTTGGCTCCTTAGTCTCTGTAAGATCGGGCTTTCCTGTTTTTGTCATTCTCAGTTTACTTCATAGGCATGCTTTGTGTGGGGAAGAAAAATACCCGCGAAGGAAGCTTCTCAGAGGGCGACCAGGTGCACAGTTCAGCCAAGTAGGTGACTCGATGGGATGCGTCTCTTTGTGTTTGTTTGGGCCGGGAAGGGTGTGACAGCGCACTGGGAGATATTCGGCTCACAGCCAAATAACTTTTCCACCTGAGGTACGAGGCGGCTCTTCCGAGGGGTCCAGCTGCTTGAGAACCCGAGTGTGTGGGAAGCAAACAGCCCTGCGTGGTGCTCCCAGTGTACCTTGTGATGGCCGCCCACCCACCGGCTGTGCTCCAAGCAGATACATGGGGCTACGTGCGTGTGCACATGTAAAAGTGTCACTGTGTACACACCGGAGTTTCCATGAGTAGGACAAGAAAAAGAACAAAGAAGCGAAAAGGTGTGAGGGGTGGAGAAAGAAATGGCAGCATGCTGATAGCGAAGCTGAATGGCGGCCACACGGAGATTCCTTGTACTCTTCTCTCTGCTTTTGTATATATTTGGAAATTCCAAACTAAAAAGTTTAAAAATATGTGCAGTATTTAAACCTTTGTGTAAATGTTTGTCCACACAGTACTCGTTGCACCCTGGTTTTGCTACAAATTCTGTGCTGGGTGTTTGGGTACAGGGAGAATTCTCTACTTTCATGGTGCTCAGAGCTGATGGGGGACAGGTGTGAATCTAACATCACCCAAATACTGAATACGAAACAGACATTCTCTGAAGCACAGAGAGGGGGTATGAGGAAAACTTTGAAGAGAGGAAACTTGAAGAATGGGAGGGAGGATTCCTTCACAGAAGGGTTGACCAAGCCGAGGTCTAAGCATGACTAGGAACCAACTGAATGCCAAGAGAAAGGGAGAAGAAAGTTCTAGAAGGTGGGACTCGCCAGGGATGTGAGGCAAGTCAGGGTGATGGAGCCCAGAGGGAGGGAGGGGATGGTGGTTGGGAGGGGCGCCGGGGCATGTGGCTTGGCCTTGTTGAGGAACTGCCCTTGGTCCTGGGAGCGACGGATCGCCAGTGAAGAGCTGAAGCAGGACGTAGCTGTGGGTCGACCTCCCCTTCTCAGACACCATTTTGGCTGCAACACAGAGGGTGAGTGGAGGGCAGGAGTTGACGTGCAGGTGAGACGCTGAGGCTGTCTGTGGTGGAGATGGAGGTGGGGACAAAGGTGTGTCTAACAGATAGAATCTAAGCTGGTGACCGAGTGGCTGCGGGTCAGGGAGAGGGAGGGTCAGCGTGATGGTGGCAGGCTGTCATGTGCTGAGATGGGACACCAGAAGAGAAGGCCTGGAGTGGAGGAGAAGTCCTGCGTTTGGTCTGGTGGAGGTGGAGGGAGATACTGCTAAGGCAGTTGGTCACATGGGGTTGGAGCTCAGGGCCGAGATGTGGCAGAGGAAAGAAGCTGGCAACACCTCACGTGTGCATGGTGCTGGGAGCCAGAGCTGCTCGGGAGAGACACCGGTGGCAGGAAACCAGGACAGGACAGGAGTGGCCAAGTCCAGCCCAGCTTGGGTATTTTCCTTTTTAAAATTAAACAAGTTATACTTAAGCATGCTCGTCATAAAAATGTTAAACCATAGCAAACGCATCCGGGTACATACCCTTACAGACTCTGGACCGTTATATATATATGTACGTACGTCTGTGCACACATGGCTTTCTATTTTACCTAAATTTTACCTATATTTTACCTATTTACCCATACCACCAACTCAGCAGCTTGTTTGCTTCGCATTTTTCCCCCTGATTTTTCTGTATTATAAAGTCTCCTCCTAAAACCCTGTCTTCCAGAGGGCATTGCTGTTAACATATTCCTTCAACGTTTTCTCCTGCTGTTAACATATTTCTTCAACGTTTTCTCCTGTGCCTATGTGGTATCTTATTATATAGATGCATCATTATGTATTTAATTGTTCCTCTCTTGAAGGACACTTAGGTTGTCTACAGAATTCCTGCTATTAAAAGCAGTGCTGCAGTGAAGGTCCTTGAGGGCATGTATTCATTTGTGTGCATTTGGGAGTATTTGGGTAGGCTGGAGTCCTCCAGGTAGAATCACTGGGTCAAAGAGCATGCACATTTCAGAGTTTTAGCAGATGTTGCCTGATTGCCCCAGCAGGCCTATCCCCCCACAACACACAAACACACGCACTTTAATCAGCATTGGATTTTACCTTTCTGAGTTTTTTCCTAGTCTGTTGGGTGAAAAAGCTCATTTTATTGATACTTTAATTTACATTCCATCTATTACTTGGAAATTTAAGCATCTTCTAAAATGTTCACTGGCTGCAGTCAATTTTCATTAGAAAATTGTATCGTTTTCCTATTTTTCTTTGGGGTTTCTTTCCTGTTTTTAGTTCTTTATATGATACGGGTATTAATTCTTAGCAGTTTGAGTCTAAGGATGCACCCAACTTACCAGCAGTCTGAGAAATTCCCCTTCTTCTGTATCACCCCAGCACCCTGTGTCAGTTGTCACCAGGCCCTGCTTGCTCTCCTCTGAAGCTTCTTGACAACACTGTTCTTGGTCCCTTAAATTTGGGGTACACTACTGAGCATCCTCTGCAGTGTACACACAGGGTAAGACAACCTGCTCAGGGGCTCATACCGAGGATAGAGCCCTGGTCTCTGCTTCTACAGCAGCTTTTGGATGATGGGATGGAGGATGTCGGGCCCAGGAAGCCTCCCAGGTCAGACTTCACCTGGGCTATCACGGATGAGCATCTCGGGACCCTTCTACACTGCTGTCACAAGCTTCACCCCTGCTTGTGCTGGTGGTTCAGTTTTCCAGGTGACCAATGGGGAAAAAAGTGACTATCCACATGTCATAAGGATGTTCAGTTTGAAAATGCAGGATGCAGTTCTCAAGAATGCTCCCAGTGCTCAGTGCTGTGGGCCCTCGGCCAGTTCATTCAGATCAGATGCAGGTTGTGTAGTATGATTTCAGGAGTGTGTGAGCCATTGCTAGAAGCTTCTTAGTGTGGGGTGTTGCGCTTGTTGGTTCCACAGAAGGGAGACCAGGGTTGCAGTGATTATCGTGACTGTGTTTGCTCTCTTAAGCTTCTCTGGAGGGTTTTGACATTCATTTTCATTCATTCACATCTTAGGGTGCATAATTTAAATCAGGCACGTCCGTCTTAACACCTCAAAGAAACCAGTTTAGTGTGCTTAGAAGTCCCCAGCCAGGGCGCCTGGGTGGCTCAGTTGGTTAAGCAACTGCCTTCGGCTCAGGTCATGATCCTGGAGTCCCGGGATCGAGTCCCACATCGGGCTCCCTGTTTGGCAGGGAGTCTGCTTCTCCCTCTGACCCTCCTCCCTCTCATGCTCTCTGTCTCTCATTCTCTCTGTCTCAAATAAATAAATAAAATCTTTAAAAAGAAAAAAACTTAAAAAAAAAAAAAAAAGAAGTCCCCAGCCATCTTAGTTTTGGTAATTGGCTTCAGAATATACTGAGAACCCTGATTCCCTGGCATGTCAGATGCTGTGCTTGGGAAGCCCTGTAGGAAATATGAGCAAAGTCAGACAGATCTGTTGTCCAAGGACTTTCTCTCCAGTTGTATTCAAGATAAGACATATAAAGACATAACTGTATGGATCTTGTTGCCTCTGCGCACACCTCCTCCTATGGCCTCCTCAGTGACAGTGACTCTGGCCTATGTGACCTGCTGCTCCTCCACTCCCACTGGCTGCCTCGGTCCCCAGCAAACTGGCATGTTCCTGCCTCAGGGCCTTTGCAATGACTGTCCCTGCTATCTGGAATGGGCCCTGTCCCCCACTCACTTCTCCCAGGTCTGCTCAGATGCTCCTTTCTCAGTCCCTAGCACAGGGCCCGGTGATCAGTAAGTACATACTAAGTATCTGCTGGAAGAAGAAGTGAACGGCTCTAGAAGGAATGTGGAAAGTGAGGTCCCCACTGGAAGAGTCCCTAGTCTCACTGGGCCTTGGGTTTCTATCATCAAGAGGACTGTTTGGCAACTTCATGCACTTGGCAGTTCTGACATTACTGGAGTCCAGGAGAAAGGGGGCCCTGAGCATCAGCCTCTGCCCCCTTGGGCTTCTCAGAGGGTGAACCTGTGCAGGGGGCTGGAGGCCCAGCTCTGTACCCCGGGGATGGCCTGTGTCACTGCCTTCCTTGGGCTGGTTGCTTGGCACCTATTGCCTGCCAGGCTACAGAGAGGGCCAGAGCTGGGTTCTTCCTGTCTTCTACCTGGGGCTCCAAGGCCCCAGTCGGGTGGAGTCCCTCTTTATCCCTTGGGAAAATGGTAAACTGGGGTTAGGGTGTGGTTAGTGATTAGTCAAGCACGTGTAAAGGCAGATGTCCATGTCTCCTAGATGAGTCATTTCTGCTGAGAGGATCACTCTTTAGTTTTTGTCGAGAGAGCATTATTAACATTTGGATACTTAGGAATATTTAGATATTTCCTCCAAGGAGGAAAAAAGGGATGAAGCTTCTTTTTAAAAACAAATTTGTTATAGAAAAATATAAATATATGCACAGGCAGAATAGCATATTGACTGCCCATGAACCAGAGAATACAGGTTCTCTGACCATAACAAAATATATGCACAGGCAGAATAGCATATTGACTGCCCAGCCCTAACATCCCAATTCACACCCATCCTGTTTCATCCAGCCCCGCTGTCCTCACCCCAGATTAATTAGAAGCAAACCACAGATATGCCATCCTTAAGTACTTCAGTTTGTAACCAAAATGAGGCTTCTAGAAATTAAGCCTGAGGGAGAGATGAACTGCTAATTCCCATATTCCGCTGGCCCAGTGGGATGGTGCCCAGCATTCTGTGTGACCCACCCTGAGTGGGTGTGTGTGCTGTTTGCATGACATCCAAAAGAGGCTAGCCTGGCTCTAGCCATTGCACAGGTGTCTCCATGGTCATTTCCTTCCTGTGCTGGTCAGGGACCCCATCACCAGCTCAAAAACTCTGAGGGGTTTTCCTCTTTTCCATTTCCTTTCATGGTTTTGAAACAGGAAGAGCGGTACCTCGATCTGATAACTGTTCATTTACTATCAGAGTTGGTGCCACATATTTATAAGAAAGAGTGGTCAAAGTCATGAATATCATTAATTTGAGGAATGCTAATGTTCCAGTTGGATAGAAAGAAACCGATTTTGTTTTTAGGTTATATACAAGTTGTTTTCTGCCACATTGCTAAATGTGGATTCTTACATGAGTGATGGAGAGAAATGTAACTCTCATATTTCTACACATTGAGTCACTTCAGTGGAATGTCAATAATTGTTAAAATTTGTGGTGCTGAATGGAAGAAAAAATATGTCTTTGAATATGACATCATTTTTTTTCTTTCAGCTTCTGATGTTCAAAATAAAACATCTCTCAGTCAGCAAAACCAAGATAAAAGGTGTTTAAAAAAAAAAACAGAATGTTACTCAACAACAGAAAACCAAGCAGCCAAACTGAAAAATAGATAAAGTAATTGAACAGGCATCCCTCCAAAGAAGACATACAAGTGGCCAATGAGCACATGGAAAATGCTCAACATCACTAGTCATTAGGGAAATGCAAATCAAAACTATGATGAGATATCACCTCACACCCCTTTAGAATAGCTACTATCAAAACAAAAAATAACAAGTGTTCAGAGGATGTGGAGAAGTTGGAACGCTTATGCATTGCTGGTGGAAATGTAATATGGTGTGGCCATGGAAAACAGTTTGGCAGGTCCTTGAAAAGTTAGATTTAGGATTACCATATGACCCAGCCATTCCACTCTTGGGTATGTACTGAAAATAATTGAAAGCAGGACTCAAATAGATACTCGTACACCCATGTTTAATAGCAGCATCATTTACAATAGCCAAAAGGTGGAAACAACCCAAATATCCATCAGCAGATGAATGGATGAGCAAAATGTGGTTTATACATAAGTTGGAATTCAGCCATAAAAACGGAAGGAAATTCTGACACATGCTACAACATGGATGAACCTTGAATGCATTATGCATTATGAACTAGAGCAGTCAAATTCATAGAGACAGAAAGTAAAATGGTGGTTGCCAGGGATGGGGAAGGGGATGGGGATTTATTGTTTAAAGAGTACAGAGCTTCAGTTTGGGAAGATGAAAAAGTTCTGGATATGGACAGTGGTGACAGTTGCTCAACAGTGTGAATATATATACTTAATATCACTGGATTGTACACTTTAAAAAATACCAAAAAAGGTAAAGTGATGGAGTAAGATAGATCATGCAAATGTGAATTATGGGAATACTGAAGTGCCTATATTTCAGAGCAAGGACCATTACTAGAGAAGAGAGAGAGAGAGATTTCATACTGATAAAGGGGTCAACTCACCAAGAAGACATAATTATCCTAAATATATATATTATATATATACTAAATATATATATACCCAATAGAGAGCCAGCACCACCCGAATACCGAAACTTGACAAAGAGAAGAAATCTACAGGCTGGTATCTCTCAGTAAATGGATATTAAAATTCTTTCAAAATTTTAACCAATTGAATCCAGCAACACATAAAAAAGACTATAAACCATGGACAAGTGGAGTTTATCCCAGTAATGCAAGATTGATTTAACATTTAAAAATCAACGTATTTTACTATATTAACAGACTAAGAAAAAACCATGATCATCTCAATAGTTGCAAAAAAAGGGGAGGGGGGAGCGGGCATTGACAGAACCCAATACCTGTTCATGATTAAAAACAAAACAAAACCTCTCAGCAAACCAAGAAGGGAAGAGAATTTCCATAACCTCATACAGGGCAAATATTAAAAACCTAGAGCTAGGGCGCCTGGGTGGCTCAGTTGGTTAAGCGACTGCCTTCGGCTCAGGTCATGGTCCCGGAGTCCTGGGATCGAGTCCCGCATTGGGCTCCCGGCTCGGCGGGGAGCCTACTTCTCCCTCTGACCCTATCCCCTCTCATGCTGTTTTTCTCTCTCTCTCTCTCCCTCTCTCTCTCTCTCAAATAAATAAATAAAATCTTAAAAAAAAAAAAAAAACCTAGAGCTAATATCATAGGACAGAATGAAAACTTCCTCCTGAAGTCAGTAACAAGACAAGGATGTCTGTTCTTGCTATTTTTATTCAACATTTTAGTGGCAATGCTAGCCAGCTGAATAACGCAAGAAAAAGAAAAGCATCTAAACTGGAAAGAAGTAAAACTATCTTTATTCACAGACAACATGTCCATCTTAGATAGGACATGATCATATACCATGAAAACTCCAAGGACTCTACAAAAAAAGCTACTAGGATTAATACGTGAATTAACATAGTCACAGGATACAAAATTAATATTCAAGAATCAGTGTTCAAATGCTGGCAATAAGCAATTGAAATTGAAATTTTAAGAAATACCATTTACTGGGCGCCTGGGTGGCTCAGTTGGTTAAGCGACTGCCTTCGGCTCAGGTCATGATCCTGGAGTCCCGGGATCGAGTCCCGCATCGGGCTCCCCGCTCGGCAGGGAGTCTGCTTCTCCCTCTGACCCTCCTCCCTCTCATGCTCTCTGTATCTCATTCTCTCTGTCTCAAATAAATAAATAAAATCTTAAAAAAAAAAAAAAAGAAATACCATTTACAATACCATCAAAAACCACAAAACATTTAGGGAGAAATATAACAGAATGTATGCAAGAGAGGTATGCTAAAAATTACAAAACATTGCTGAGAGAAATTTAAAAAGACACATAAATAGAAAGATATGCCAAGTTCATGAATCAGAAAACTTAATATTGTTAAATTTTCCAAGTCGCCCAATATTAATCTGTAGATTCAATTCAATCCCAAATAAAAATCCCAGCAGCTTTTATGTAAAAAATGTCAAGTTCATTCTAAAATGTGGAAATGCAAAGAACTGAAGCCAAATTTTTTAATAGAAACAATTTTGAAAATTAAAAACAAAGTTGTAAAACTTACACTATCTTATTTCAAAACCCACTACAAAGTTATAATTATCAAGACAGTGTGGTACTGGCATAAAGGTAGACATACAGATCAATGAAACAGGATAGAGTCCAGAAATAAACCCACAGATACATTGTTAATTGATTTTGACAAAGTTGCCAAGGGAATTCAATGGGGGAAAGGATAGTTTTTTCCAACAATTGGTGCTGGGACTGTTGGATAGCCACATGGGAAGAAATGAACCTTGATCCTTATCTGATAAAATATACCAAAATTAACCTGAATTGGACTGTAAACCTAAATGTAAAAGTTAACATTATCAAACTTGAAGAAGAAAACACGGAAGAAGATATTTGCCACCTTGGCAGATTTCTTAGGAAACAAATAAATAAAATCTTTAAAAAAAAAATGTGTATCGCAAAACAATTAAAAAAAAAGCATAAACCATAAAGGAAAAAAAATTGATTAATTGAACTTTATCAAAATGAAAAACTTCTTTTAAAAGCACCCTTAAGAAAAGGAAAAGATGAGCCAAAAACTGTATATTTGACAAAGGGCTTTAAGCAGAATACATAAGGACCTTGTAACACAAAAGTCAGAAGACAAACAAAACTTCATTACGAATTAAAAAATTTGAGCAGATGTTTTACAGAAGATATACCAGTGGCCAATGGGCACATGAAAAGATGTTTAATATCTCTCGTTATAAGGGAAAATTAAAATCACAATGAAGCAGCACTAGACATCCATTTGAATGACCATATTTAAAAGGCCGACCATATCAAGTGTTGCCAAGGAGATATACATTACTGGTGAGAATGAAAAATGGTATGATTGGAAAAGCTGGACAGTTTCTTTCAATATTTATGTACTGTTTACAACCCAGCGATTCCACTGCTAGAAAATACACAATAGTAAACATCTGCGAAGATTCATACAGGAATGTTCACAGCAGTTTTGTCTAATAATAGCCCGAAACTGAAAACAATTTAAATGTCCACCAACATGTGATAAACAATTGTGGTGTAGCCGTGCAGCGGAATGCTAAAAGGAATAAACTACTGAAGATGCCACAGATGGATAAATCTCACAGATATTATGTTGAATAAAAGAAGACCAAAAATTTACAGACGGTGTGGTTCCATTTATAGAAAACTCTAGAAAGGACAGATCTAATCTGGAGTGACAGGAAACAGGTCAGTGGTTCCCCGGGGCCTGGTGTGGAGGGTGAGGGGACTGACCAGAAAGAGTCACAAGGGAACTTTTTGGGTGATGGAAATGTTCTGTCTTGATTGTAACAGTGGTTACTTACACAGATATACACACTTGTCAGAACTCATTAACTTAAACTAAGTGCACTCTATTGTATGTAGATGATACCTTAATAAAGTTGATTCACAAAAATCCTTTATGTAACTAAGGTAAAACAAGAACAACAACAACAACAACTGATGTACAGTATACCTACCCTGTGTTTTCTTTCTTTCTTTCTTTTTTGTAAAGATTTTATTTATTTATTTGACAGAGAGAGATCACAAGTAGGCAGAGCAGCAAGCAGAGGGAGAGGGAGAAGCAGGCTCCCTACTGAGCAGGGAGCCCAATACAGGGCTCGATCCCTGGACCCTGGGATCATGGCCTGAGCCGAAGGCAGACGCTTAACTGACTGAGCCACCCAGGCGCCCACCTACCCTGTACTTTCTAAAATAACCACAGTTTATATCAAAAAAAGAATGGAGAAGCAGAATGGTACATAAAGATTGCTACCATTTTTAAAGGATCAATTCACCCATATGCTTGTCAATGTCAATCAGGGCACACAATCTTGTAAAGACCCACAGCTGCCCCCACTGATGGGGGATAGGTGGAGTAGGAGAGACACTTGACTTTTTCATCATGCGCATCTGTTTCCTAACAGAAACCAAAACTTGTGATCGATCTATAATTGATCACACTAAAAAAGGTGCCATTCAGCTCGGGACTGGCAAATAAATGATCTGGAAATAGTATGAAGGAAACCAGAGTGCTGGGTAGTGCAGTCCTAGGCTTCTAGTCTGAGTGATGAAGGTGAGTCTTCCCAGGAGTGGCCTCCTGTGCCCGTGAGGGCCAGGGGGCAGTGTGTGTCCCGGCACTGCCACCAACAGGCTGTGTGGCTCTGGTCAACTCCGTGTCGCCCCCATCCACACTTTCCTATACACATGCAAGTCACAGCAAAAATCCAATTTGTTTGAAGATGAGGGTTAAACATAAGAGTGTTCACATAAGCAGAGGCTGTGTGCCTCCCAAAGCAAGATGCTGCATTTGTCCCCTTACATTGCTGGCTGCAATGCAGTTATCCCAGCATATGGTGACTCGGTAAAATCTAAAAGAACAATTATCCAAGAAACGAAATTTTGGTAACTTCAAGAATGCAATTGAATTTATTTAAGAGAATGGGATGTAAGGAAAACCTTACAGATTTAGAACCGCATGTATGTGTTTTTTAAATCTTAAACTCATTAAGTAATAGATTCATGAAGTAGAGATGCATGTGATTGCAAAGCTTTGTCACTAGTTCAAGTCCATGACCTTCTCTAGGATAATCCCTCCTCCAAAGGAAGAGAATGCATTTACTTAAAGTTCTGATTTTTAAAAAAATTTCAGATCAATTTATTGAAGTACAATCCACATACAATGAAATGCATTTGTTTTAATTTTTTTTAAAGATTTTATTTATTTATTTATTTGACAGAGAGAGGAATAGTGAGAGCAGGAACACAAGCAGAGGGAGTGGGAGAGGGAGAAGCAGGCTTCCCGCCCAGCAGGGAGCCTATGCGGGGCTCGATCCCAGGACCCTGAGATCATGACCTGAGCCGAAGGCAGACGCTCAAAGACTGATCCACCCAGGCGCCCCTAAATGCATTTGTTGTAAATGAACTGGTCATTGTAACCACCATCACCATCAAAATCTACAACATTTCCATTACCTCAGGAAGTTTCCCGGTGCCCCAGTCTTCCTCAGCCTCCACATTCACAGCCCCAGGCAAACACTTGTGATCAAATTTGTGACACCGGGAATTAGATTTATCTTCTTTGAGAGTTTTATATAAATGAAGTCATCCAATATATACTTGCCTAGCACCTTTCTCAGCACAATATTCTTCAGATTTATCCATGTTGCTGCATGTATTCCTTTGGGCTGCTGAGTAGTATAGTATTCCTCAAAAAAGTTTTTAAAAATCATTACCTGCTTCCTCATCACCTGCTAATAACTTCTGGAAAAATGATGAATGAGAGCTTCTTGGATAGCTACACCAGCGCGCAGAGCAGTCACCTGTCCAGTTGACCAAACCAGAAACCTAGGGATTATTTTTGATCCCTCCTTCTGTTTTCCAAATCCAAGAACCACCATGTCCAGTCAATTTTAATCTCCTGATCTCTCTCAAATCGATCTTGTCAGCCACTGTTATAAGCAAGTCTTCATTTCTCACCCATATTACTGCAGAAACCCATTTTGCTTTAGTCTTGCACACCCCCCGCCATTCTCCATCTTTAAACCAGAATGAATTCAACTGCTCTAGGGACCTCATATAAGTGGAATCATGAGGTATTTGTTTTTTTGTGTCTAATTTATTTCATTTAGCATGTTTTCAAGGTTCACATCATAGCATGTGTCAGAATTTTCATCTATCAACCTATCTATCTATCTATCTATCTATCTATCTATCTATCTATCTATCTATCTATCTATCTATCATCTATTTGAGATAGATAGCAGGTGGAGGGGCAGAGGGAGAAGAATATTCTCCACTGAGCAGGGAGCCAGACACGGGCCTCGATCCCGAGGACCCCAGGATCATGACCTGAGCTGAAGGCAGACGCTTAACTGACTGAGCCAACCAGACGCCCCAGAACTTTTTTTTAATGGCTGAATAATATTCCATTGTATGCATAGACTACATTTTGTTAATCCATGTATCTACTGATGAATGCTTTAGTTATTTCCACCTTCTGCTTATTGCAAATAATACTGTTATTAACATTGGGGTACAAGCATTTGTTTGAGTCCTTACTGTCAGTTCTTTTACATGTATACCTAGGAGTGGAATTGCTGGGTCATGTGGTAAATTCTATGTTTGACTTTTTGAGGAACCACCAAACTATTTTCCACAGCAGTTGAACAATTTTACATTCCCACCAGTAAGTAGTCCAAGAGGGTTCCAATCTCTCCAAAATTTCTGATCTGGTGAAAAACAATTTCAGGAAACTTAAGCACTCTGTGCCTCAGTTTCCCCAATTCTAAAACGCAGGAAATGATATTATCATTCTAGTGTGGTTGTGAAATTTAAATGAAGAAATGTATGTAAATAACTTAGGGCTTGCAAATGTGAATGTTATAATAAATCCTAGCTGGTATCATCGCCATCGTCCCTACTAGTGAGGATTGGATTGCCTGAAATCTGCAAACTTCGAAATCCCTGCCCCTTCCCTGGGTCTCCTAGGGCTCCATAGAGACTAGTAGAAGGGCAGCACAGTGGGCCAGGGGCCGGAAGCTGGGCTTGAGTCAGACGAACCCCTGGAGCTGTGCACAATGAACAGACATCATGGAAGGGGCCACGTAGCACAGGGGAGTGGCAGCACATCCTTTCCTCTCATGGAGCAGGAAGGGGAGGCTCACGGAGGCTGAGCAGTCCTGGCTCTTGCCTTTCTCTTTTCACACATGCTTTAGGAAGCACAGCAGTCAGCAAGGCGCATTGCTTCTCATGCATGTGTGCAAAGAGCCTGATAGAATCACCTTAATAGTGAGAGCAAGCCCGAGGTGATGCTGCAGGTGTCCCTGACCATGACCTGAGCATGGGGTTCACACACCTGGTTTTCCTCAGGATTGTTTTCAGCAATTTGGTGACTGTGGTCACAGTATATGCATATTCTCTCAAGATCTCTTGAACAAGAGAGTGGCCCGGTGTGAATGCTCCATGTTACCTGGTGCTGTCACCCAACTGTTACTGCTATTCCCACGGGCTTGTCTACAGTGAAGATCTGTAGCCTTCAAATGGCAAACTTCAACTCCATAGCAGTATAAAGTTTCACCTTTAAAAAAATTGGCATTTACGGGCGCCTGGGTGGCTCAGTTGGTTGAGCGACTGCCTTCGGCTCAGGTCATGATCCTGGAGTCCCAGGATCGAGTCCCGCATCGGGCTCCCTGCTCAGCGGGGAGTCTGCTTCTCCCTCTGACCCTCCTGACCCTCCCCCTCTCATGTGCTCTCTCTCTGTCTCTCTCTCTCAAATAAATAAATAACATCTTTAAAAAATAAATAAATAAAAATAAAAAATTGGCATTTACAAGGCGAAAATATGTGTGTTATGTCGTGGGGGGTCTGACCAATACTTTTGCAACTCTTCACTCCTAATGCATCTGCTGTGCATTCCAGCTCCCCCTGAGGCCACGGGCAACACAGGCTTTGCCCCGCTGGGTACACAGGAAGTCTGCCAAGAAGGGCTCTGCTCTCACCTTTGTGGGAGATGGCGGGTCACTTCCTGGTTCTTTCCTATTATTATTGTTAAGTTTGAATAGGACTGATGGCTGGGCGTTGGGTGGTTTTTCTAAAACCTTTTTAATTATTAAAGTTTATTACAGCACTTGAAAAAAATGAAAAAAGGTCATGTCACTCATATTCCCACCATCATAGCATAATAGCTGCCTTCATCTCTCCAGACTTTCTTCCAGTCTTTTCTCTTATCGACCCATATTTTACATTGTTGTAATCACTGTATGTGGGCAACTTAGGTTCTCTCTGCTCAGCTTTGCTCATAAATATCTTTTTCATGTCACTTTATTTATTTTTAATAGCTGTATGATAATCTATTGGGTTAATATATCATCATTTATTTAGACATTCCTCATAATTGGCATTCAATTTTCCCCAATCTTCCACGATCATGAATTTTATTTTATTTACCTATCCTTGGTTTTATGTAGTGTGTAAAAAATATAGGCTTAGGTTTAAATTGTTAAAACTGTCATTAAAATGCGCCCTAGGCTCAATTGCACTCAAATGATCCTACTGACATCTATTTTGAATAATGAAAATCATTTTTCATAATTTATCCTTTGGAACTTTGATTTTTATTATTTATTTATTTATTTTTAAAGTAGGTTCCATGCCCAGCATGGAACCCAAGGTGGGGCGTGACCTCACGACCCTGGGATCAAGACCTGAATGAGCCGAGATCAAGAGTCAGACTCTCAACCGACTGAGTCACCCAGGCGCCCCTGGAATTTTTCTAAGTAGGTCAGGTCACAGAATTTTAGCCTGGGTGTTGCCATCCTCCATCATCCCTCTTTTATCAGACTTCTAGAGAGAGCCACCAGCAAAGCGTGCCTACCCACTACAGCAGCATTTTGGAAAGACAGCAGCCTTTTAGTGAGGGCCACTCTCAGGGCTGGACACATGGCTCTCTGGGGCGGTGTCTGCCATGAGGCTGGTCAAGCACAGGGGCATGACTGGCCTGTCCTAGTGGGGGACATACCGAAGTCAAGTCAACAGGAGGGAGTAACTGTAGTGCATGTATCCTGCCGCCCTAAGCAACTGGAAACCTGGACAAAG